GACGTTTTTTGGTCAAAATTTGGATTTTTTTCGATTTTATTCCATATTTTTTAGTTAAAATTCCGAGTTTTTTTCTCATAAAATTCCAAGATTTTAATGGAAAAAATCCTGGAATTTTTCAGCCAAAATTTGGGATTTTTTTGGGTGAAATTCCCACATTTTTTGGTCAAAATTTGGACTTTTTTCGATTTTATTCCATGTTTTTAGTTAAAATTCCGAGATTTTTTTCTCATAAAATTCCAAGATTTTACTGGAAAAAATCCTGGAATTTTTCAGCCAAAATTTGGGATTTTTTGGGGTGAAATTCCCACGTTTTTTGGTCAAAATTTGGATTTTTTTTCGATTTTATTCCATGTTTTTTAGTTAAAATTCCAAGATTTTACTGGAAAAAATTCTGGAATTTTTCAGCCAAAATTTGGGATTTTTTTGGGTGAAATTCTGACGTTTTTTGGTCAAAATTTGATTTTTTTTCCATTTTATTCCATGTTTTTAGTTAAAATTCCAGGATTTTTCTCATAAAATTCCAAGATTTTACTGGAAAAAATCCTGGAATTTTTCAGCCAAAATTTGGGATTTTTTTGGGTGAAATTCTGACGTTTTTTGGTCAAAATTTGGACTTTTTTCGATTTTATTCCATGTTTTTAGTTAAAATTCCGAGATTTTTTTCTCATAAAATTCCAAGATTTTACTGGAAAAAATCCTGGAATTTTTCAGCCAAAATTTGGGATTTTTTTGGTGAAATTCTGACGTTTTTTGGTTAAAATTCCCATTTTTTTAAATTTAATTCTGAATTTTTTGGGTTCAAAATCCAAGATTTTTTTTCACCCTGGCACCTACACCTGCAAAATTCCAAAGGCTTTCCATGAAATTCCATCGGGAAAAAATTCCTAATTTTTTATCCCTTTTATTCCCATTTTCCCCCCTATTTTTCCCCCATTTTATTCCCATTTTCCCCCATTTTATTCCCATTTTATTCCCATTTTATTCCCATTTTTCCCCCATTTTATTCCCATTTTATTCTCATTTTATTCCCGTTTTTTCCCTATTTTATTCCTATTTTTCCCAAATTTTTCCCCATTTTTTCCTTATTTTATTCCCATTTTATTCCCATTTTTCCCCCATTTTTCCCCCATTTTATTCCACATTTTATTCCCATTTATTCCCCATTTTATTCCCACTTTTCCCCCATTTTATTCCCATTTTATTCCCACTTTTCCCCCATTTTATTCCCATTTTTTCCCAAATTTTTCCCCATTTTATCCCATTTTTCCCCCATTTTTCCCTTATTTTTCCCCATTTTATTCCCATTTTATTCCCATTTTCCCCACTTTTCCCCCATTTTATTCCCATTTTATTCCCATTTTCCCCCATTTTATTCCCATTTTATTCCCATTTTTCCCCATTTTATTCCCACTTTTCCCCCATTTTCCCCCATTTTATTCCCATTTTCCCCATTTTATTCCCATTTTCCCTCTTTTCCAGACCTTGCAATCCCTTGGGAAGCTCCATGGATTTGATGATTTGCTCGCTGACATCGGAAGCGCTCAACCCTTGAAGCCTTTTCTCCCAAAAAAGCTGGAAAAGAACAAAAAAACCGGGAATTTTCATCACTTCCCACTTTTCCAAAAAAAATTCCCAAATTTCTTTGTCATTCCCTCAAAATCCTGGAATTTTGGGGGATTTTTCCCAGTTTTCCTTCCTTTTTTTCCCAATTTTTTCCCATATTTTCCCCAATTTTTTCCCAATTTTCCCCCATTTTTTCCCAATTTTTTCCCAATATTTTCCCAATTTTTCCTCCATTTTTCCTAATTTTTTCCCTTTTTTTTCCAATGTTTTTCCAATTTTTTCCCAATTTTTTTCCATATTTTTCCCGATTTTTTCACCATTTTCCCTCCACTTTTTCCCAATTTTTTCCCAACTTTTCCCCATTTTTTCCCCATTTTTTCCCCACTTTTTTTCCATATTTTTCCCAATTTTTTCACCATTTTTCCTCCATTTTTTCCCATTTTTTTCCCCAATATTTTCCTCATTTTTCCCCATTTTTTCCCAATTTTTTCCCAATTTTTTCCCATATTTTTCCCAATTTTTTCACCATTTTCCCTCCATTTTTTCCCCAACTTTTCCCCAATTTTTCCCCATTTTTCCCAATTTTTTCCCAATTTTTTCCCAATTTTTTTCCATATTTTTCCCAATTTTTTCACCATTTTCCCTCCATTTTTTCCCCAACTTTTCCCCAATTTTTCCCCATTTTTCCCAATTTTTTCCCAATTTTTTCCCAATTTTTTTCCATATTTTTCCCAATTTTTTCACCATTTTCCCTCCATTTTTTCCCAATTTTTTCCCCAATATTTTCCCAATTTTTCCTCCATTTTTCCCAATTTTTTTTCCATTTTTCCCCAATTTTTCCCCATTTTTTCCCAATTTTTTCCCAATTTTTTTCCATATTTTTCCCAATTTTTTCACCATTTTCCCTCCATTTTTTCCCAATTTTTCCCCAATATTTTCCCAATTTTTCCTCAATTTTTCCCAATTTTTTTTCCATTTTTTCCCAATTTTGTCCAGTTTTTTTCCATATTTTTCCCAATTTTTTCACATATTTTCCCTCCATTTTTTCCCAATTTTTTTCCGTTTTTCCCCAATTTTTTCCCAATTTTCCCCAATTTTTTTCCATATTTTCCCCAATTTTTTTCTATATTTTTCCCAATTTTTTCCATATTTTCCCCAATTTTTTCACCATTTTCCCTCCTGTTTTTCCAATTTTTTCCCCAATATTTTCCCAATTTTTCCTCCATTTTTCCCAATTTTTTCCCTTTTTTTCCCAATTTTTTCCCCAATTTCCCCCATTTTTTTCCCAATTTTTTCCCAAATTTCCCTCAATTTTCCCCCAATTTTTTCCCATTTTTTCCCTATTTTATTCCCATTTTATTCCAAATTTTTCCCATTTTTTCCCATTTTTTCCCCAATTTTTTCTCAATTTTTTCCCCAATTTTCCCCCATATTTTTCCAGATTTTCCCCCATTTTTTTCCAATATTTCCTCTATTTTTTCCCAATTTTTCCTTCAATTTTTCCCAATTTTTCCCCAATTTTTCCTTCAATTTTTCCCAATTTTTCCCCAATTTTTCTCCAATTTTTCCTCAATTTTTTCCCAATATTCTCCCATATTTCCCTCATATCTTTCCCAATTTTCCCCAATTTTTCCCCCAATTTTCCTCCATTTTTTCCCAATTTTTTCCCAATATTTTCCCAACTTTTCCTCATTTTTTTCGAATTTTTCCCTTTTTTTTCCAATGTTTTTCCATTTTTCCCAATTTTTTTCCATATTTTTTCCAATTTTTTCACCATTTTCCCTCCATTTTTTCCCAATTTTTTCCCCAATATTTTCCTAATTTTTCCCCATTTTT